GAAGGTATTGTAGAGTTGTTATTCAATAATGGTTTTATTACAACCTGAAAAATAGCTAAAGGAGGGTCTTTAACAAAAGACAGTGGGTTCAAAAACAAGATCTTTACAGAGATGGAAGCTTAGGGTTAAGAAGAAATTAGGTGTGGAGAAATAGGATTATCATCTTAGTTGTATGGCTAGAGACTGAAAAAGAAAGGGAGGAGACACAGAAAGAGCATCAGAACAATTCAAAATGTTTTAACTGTTCACCAGGTTTAAAAGTTTGTGCTACACATTGTAGGAGACACAAGATAAATCAGAAACTGTATTTGAATGTATTCATTTACAATCTAAGAGAAGAAGGGCGATATACGTGCATTAATTTGCAGTGAAGAAGTATAACTTGTAAGTATAACTTGAAGCTCTTAGTGCTTTAGACTTGAAGAGAAGAGTGGATAAACTGAGTCATTCAAATACTGGTTAAGCTTCTTTCACAAAGGTAACGAAAAAACAGTGTTTGGAATCAGAAAGCATTTATAACTCTTACTTCACAGTCCAGAGGAGCACAGTTCAAGGCTGGTGACACAGCTCTGTCATTCTCAACATAGGGCTTCTAATTCACCTCTAGTCGACACTGTCTCCTAAAATTTGAAGAGGGAAAAGAAAATCCAGGGCAAATATCCTTATGGAGGATTCTGAGAAGTTTACAAATCACTTCTGCTCAGATCTTAGTGGCTCAAATTTAGTTGCATTCAAGGAAAGATGAGAGGTATAGTTTTATTAGCTGAACAGCAATGTTCCTGGTAAAGCTCAGGACAGTAAATACTGAGGGACAGTCACCAGTGTCTACCTTAGATATCCTTCATGAAAGACTCAGTTAAAACTACAACTAGATGATGGTATTATGTTGGGATTGAAGGTTTGGGTGTAGGATTTAAATATCTATGGAGTGGAGAATAGGGAATTATAGGCTGAAGGACACTATGAACAAATAAATAGTTAAAAACCAATAATTTTGTATATAAAATGACCCGTAGCCTAGGTGGTAAGAGAAAAAGTAATGGAACATAATCATGGAATAGCATTTGGATTGTGATGGAGAGGATCTTGAATTCCATGCTTAAAAGTCTGGATATTTTATGTATAGACTGTGGATATGATTGAAGCTTTTTTTTTCCAATTTTTATGAAATTTACTTACTTTGAGAGAGACAACGACACCATGAGTGGGTGATGAGCAGAGAGAGGCAGAGAGAGAGAATCCAAAGCAGGTTTTTTTGCTGCCAGCACACTGTGAGCCTGACACAGGGCTTGAACTCGTGAAACCGTGAGATCATGACCCGAGGTGAAACCAAGAATTGGTCCCTTAACTGGTGGAGCTACTGAGATCCTCTGAAGAATTTTTTTAAATGTTTGTTTATTTTTGAGAGAGACACAGAGCATGAGCAACAGAGGGGCAGAGAGAGAGAGAGAGAGAGAGAGAGAGGATCCGAAGCAGGCACCCGGCTCCAAGGTGTCAGCACAGATCCCGACACGGGGCTCAAACCCCACAAACTGTGAGATCAAGACCTGAGCCAAAGTCAGATGCTTAACTGACTGAGCCACCCAGATGCCCCTGAAGATTTGTTTTTAATAGAGATATAGCATTATGGGAATTATTCTACATGAAATTAACTGGGATGCAGTGTTTAGAGCTCATAAATTTAGAATAAGCAGTGGGAAAGCACTTAGTAGACTACTGACACAGGACATGAGGACCTGAACTAGTAAAGTCAGTGGAAATGAACAGGGAGGAGGGAGGCAAGAAATGAAAGGGACACTCTGGAAATGGACTGGTATAATTTGAGAATTGTTTGGAGGTCAAGGTTGTGGGGAAAGGAATGTAAAGACCGAAAGTAACTCAAAAGTGTGAGTGATTTAAGAACTAGTGGCAGGACCAAAGCAGTTGCTAACCGAGGGATGTTGGCAGGTAATGCTATTGACAGAGATGGTGCAGACCGTGAAAGGGAAAGATTAGAAGAAAGATTGAACATTCATATTGGACATATTAATATTGAAAAATCTACTGTCAGGCCACTGAAAATTCACTTTAGGTCAAGAGAGTGAGTAGAATTAATATATAGATTTGTCATTTAAGGTGACAAATATTTTTATGAACAGGAAAAAATATCATGGAGGCCAATAGAATTTTTAAAAGTGAATCTGAAGAAGATGGAAGGTAGGAACAGATGTTGAAACATGGTCTGTTGGAAATAGAGAGGGTAGAGTTAATTTTAGAGGTGACAGGTGATTTAGTTTAGAAAATAATAGAGAAACTAGAATCAGAGCTGTGTTACTTAAAGATGAAAGAGATAAAGCAGACCGCAGACTAAACAGTGCAAGGCCTGTAAGTGAGTGAGTGAGTGTGTGTGTGTATGTGGGTGTATTTGGGAGTGAGAATGTTGTTTGGAAGCAGGAATTTAAGGAGGGAAGGAGTGATTTACATTAGAATCTACCATTAGAATATGCAAATGAATCAACTG